ACTTGCCAACCCAATTTGGTTTCTCCCAACCACTTGGCAGCATCTACAGTGATGGAGACGAATTTCCCAACCCCCAAAAGTCTGTACCCCTTATGGAATCAATCCCACAACTTCCCATAGTCACCACAACCAAATATGAAAGGGATACGAACTTCGAACGTTCGTAACTTTCTCGTTCGTGCTTCGATTGAAGCGATCCTTGGCTCGTCGGAAAGCACTTGAGCAGATGAGTCACTTCAGATATCTGCTCAAGCCAAATAGCATTCACACACACTCAAAAAATCCAAACCACATCAAACACAAATTCTTGCACACGCTCACACCACGCATGCAACGCACGAACATGTGATGGGAGGCAGACAGACGTGAATGCAAATGATAGCATCACACAACAGGGGCCACCAGGCTGCCCCTGACCACTCAGGGATCACCAGGGTTAGCTTTGCCCGTGTGCGACGCGCGTGATGGAGCGTTGCAGGGATGAGGTGGGGGGGCGGAAATGCGAAGCCCCGTTCCCCGTGCCAATCCTTGAAGAATGCGTTGATGGCCTCGGCTCGCGGGTGAGGGACTTTAGAGAAGAAACGAGGCAGCAATGCGTTCTGTGCATTTGCGAACAAGTCGACAGAGTGAGGCCCCCACTGACGGTCCAAGAGACGAAACCAAGGCTGTTTCAACGTGTAGTCGTCGTGGTCTTGCAGCTTTGAGAGCTCATCCACGCAAGTGTTTTGATCTCTGGGAATCCATTCGATGGCTAGACGCACCTCCTTGTCCGTGCATAGAGTGATGATCTCTTTGCAAGTGAGCGTGAGCTCGTTTTTGCGCGAGTCGCCTTTTCATAGGATGAACATGACCCCGTGGTTGTCCACACGAACCAACGTGTGGCCGTGTCGAAGACGGTCCATGAAGGTGCGTAGCGCCCAGAGCACGCCTTCCAACTCGCGTCGCGTACTTGAGGTTGTCCACAGATTGTCGGGCATGCTAGCGCTTGCGTTGCTCGGTGTTCCGTGAAAAGTAGAGAGGGTGGCACCCTAGCTGTGCGCGCTGGCATCCACCTGGATGATGGCGTCATAGTGATGCGGATGGTGGAATGGTGCACTGTTGAAACGGTCGAACTGTTCCATCCAGAAGCGCAGTTCATAGATGGCCTCTGTTGACAACGACACCTTCGAGTGCCATGAAGGCGCGTTGTTGATAAGTTGCAATAGCTCATGGCTGAAGGCTCGTGCGGTTGCGCCCAAAGCGAGGCTCATGGAAGCAAGCATTCCAGTCACTCGAGCGATTTGACGAACGTTCACGTGGTGACCAGCGCGTCCGGAATCGATGAGACTTGTGATTGTAGCTCGTAACAGGGAGCATCGTTCCTCTCCGACCGAGAATTTGCCGACTTGTGTGTTCAACTCGAGTCCGAGGAAGCGAAGCTCCTGTGTGGGGACCAGACGCGACCTTTTCTTGTTGATTACAATGCCGGCCTCCCTCAGGTCCTTTACGATCTGTGAGCATGCGACTCCCGCTTGTTGTGCGGTCTCTGCCAGGATCAGTATATCATCCACATACGGTATAACCCGCCACTCGAGAGATCTCCATCGTCGGGCCAGCTGTTTGATGAGCTGCGTGAAGATGAAAGGGGCCGTGGCCAAACCGAATGGCAGGGATTGGAAGAAGTAGTAGTTTCCTTCGAACTGAAATCCTAAGTACTTCCAGCAGGTGGGATGGATGTCCACGTGATGATACTTTGACTTGAGATCAACCGAAAGCATCCAGTCGTTCGGCTGGATCAACTCCGCTACCCGCGCAAGGCCTTCGTACTTGAATTTAGGAATGCACAAGTGCTCGTTGACCTTCCGAAGGTCGAGGATGAGCCGACATTTTTCTCGCTGTTCGACCACATTGAGTGGGCTAATGCAGAGTAGTGTTGATCGGTCAGAAGCTTTTGCCCCTGCTCCCGTTTGCAGGAGGTCCTGAATGGCATCGCGTGTGAAATCCGAATGGGTCTGGGCGCCTGCGTGGTTTTTCCTTTCGAAAGGTGCCGGGGGTCCGTTCTTCCATCCGTGTGAGATAATAGACAGGATGAGGCTACTATCGCACCAAGAGCACCACCAGTGTAGTGCTTGGTGGAGCCGTCCGCGCATTATGAACGCTGTATTGTCGGTTACCGCGTATTTGTACGTTGAGAGCGACGTCCCGATCCAACGGTCGTCGATTTCTGCGTGGGGTTTTCATGCACAATCGGCTATCCCACAACATTAGCGCATGCATGAGCAGTTGAGTAACAACAGGTCGCGCTCTTGGGCACCGTGCCTTTGCACGAGTGCAACCACGTGTGTAGATGTGCGTGTGCCTCGTGTTATATGTGTTGGTGTGTGTGTGCTTCTGTGTGTGTGCGTATGTATATGTGCGTGTGAGAGTATATGTGTGTGTGTGGGTGGGTGGGTGGGCGTGCGTGTGCGTGCGTGTGTGTGTGCATGTGAGTGTTGCGTGATTGCGCTCTTAAGTTTTTTTTTTTTTTTTTTTTTTTCATTGCACGGCTCGGGTTGCACCTAGTGAGATGCAGTTCAGGAGCCAAATATTCTATGCAATGTGGTGCGCGAGAAAAAACAAGAGAGGGAGACAACGCTTGTTCTCTTTCTCTCTCGCTCTTTTCTCTCTCTCTCTCTCCCTCTCTCTCTCTCTCTCTCTCTCTCTCTCTCTCTCTCTCTCTCTCTCTCTCTCTCTCTCTCTCTCTCTCTCTCTCTCTCTCTCTCTCTCTCGAACGGACCTTTGTATTGATATAGAAAAGGGGAAAACAGCAAAGGCAGAGCAAGCAAGAAACAAACAGGTGTGTCTAACTATTATCCTCTCTACCCCTATCCCCCCCCCCCCCCCCCCCCCAAGTCTTCTACTCGCTACCGTTGCCCGGTTCTAGGGTAGCAAAGCACTCCCCCGGGTCCAGGACCCCCTCGGGGCCTCCTAAGGCTGGGTTCTCCTTCTGGGCTGCCTGGTTCATCTTGATAAGGAAGCTCACTGCCTGTGCCCTTTGCAAGGCGACAGACCACCGCTGGCGGAACTGGTGCAGCAGCTTTGCGGCCTGGAAGCTTGAGGGGTCCACGTTGAAGTGTAAGCGTGCTGCTCTGTCCGCCAGGTGCTTCAGGAAAGCCTGCACCTCATCGCACGGGCAGCCATAGGTCTCGACTGCCAGCGGTTAAAAGCCTGCAAATTCAGCCCTGCCGTGGTATAACCCGATTTTCTTATCCGCTGCCTCCCTTGCTGCCCATCCCCGTCCCTTCCTGGCAGTCTCGTCCCGTTTGCTGATTGGGTCGGTGATGGTTATGTCACCCAGCCACACCGCCCCACTGCTTCTGTCCCGAATGGCCAGGTCGGCCTTCTTGTTGTTGACCGGGCTAAACGCCGTGCTCTCCTTGTGCACTATGAACCCCGCGTCCTGAGCCATACGCACACACTCATCCCTCAGTTCGTTGTGTGTGTTGGTCCGTCCGTGCCCTGTGCCGCAGCGGAGGAGGTGGTTGGGGAGGCGTTTGTCTGCTATGGCGACTCTCTTTGTGCAGTCGCAGTTGTCATGGACGGGGAGAGGCAGTCCTAGGCGGAACTGGAGGGCGAATGTGAAGTGGTCAGGATCTAGGCGGAGGGAGGGCATGTAGGGGATGGCTATCAGCCAGTCCCCCGCACCGTAGCCAGTGAGGGACAATAGCCGCTGGGTGTGGCCGCATAGGGGGTTCAGCTCCATATGCCGTGTCGCTGCAACTTGAGCGGCACTTCTTCCGCCCTGGACTAAGAGGGCAAGGCGGTGCTGCAGCTGTCCCTTGGGTGCTGCCATTTCTGCCGCCAGCAGGTCACGTCCCTCCTGTGTGAGGCTCGCCTTGCACTCCCCAAGCCAGGTTTGCAGTTGGTTCGGGTCCGGGTCCACCTCCTCTGTCCAGTTCAGGGCGGTGGAGAGGTGAGCTCCTGCGGGGCCGGGCAGGGAGGCTAGGAGTCCGTGCGCCTGGACAAAGCTTGCCAGGTAGCTGTACCGCCCTTCCACCGATGGGTCCGCCAGCCCCAGGCCTCCCAGGCTTGGGGGGAGGGAAGCCTGGTCCCACACGCGTTGTTCCTCCGCATCCCCCCTTGGGTGGCGCACGCCGCAGGCGTCGAGCAGTGTGTGGAGCAGCTTCTGGCCCCACCGTGACCATTCCTCTTCGGGCAGAAGGGTGAGTGAGGTTGTGCGCGCGAGGTATGACATCCGCCTCGAGATGCACCTCGTCAGCAGCAGTGATGCTGCCTGTGGTTCCAGGTCGGCTATCTGCGAGAGTGGGGTTGTCATGGCTTGAAGCTGCGCCCGAATAAATGCTGCTGCTCCGTCTGGCACGCCGATGAAACTGCCCAGAACACGCAGTCCGTCGTGGCAGAATGGGACCCCTTCCGGCAAGGCCCCCTCCGGTGGTCGAACAGCGCTCCACGCCGCACACTTCCCGGCGTTGTGCCTGAGCCCCATGCTACGGAGGCTGCTCGTGAAGTGGGTGAACGCCGCCGTACACTCCGCCACTTTGCCCAGGAACGTGACATCGTCAGCGAATGCGAGGCAGAGCACGGTCGGGAAGGCGCCTGTGGTCGCGGCAAGGGACGGGTGGATGCCCGCGGCAAAGAGCAAGGGCCCGAGGGGGTCGCCCTGGCGGACCCCTGTAATGCTTGATATGGGAGGGCTATTAAAGCCGGCGTCGAGAAATAGCTCTGACGGCGCACCGTAAGAGGAGTGAACTAGGGGGAGGATCCCTTCTAGCGTACTTCCACGTAGACCCGCTACGATTGCCTCGCGACTGATGCTATTAAATGCGTTTGAGAGATCCGCCTGGAAAATCGTGGCGTCACTGTGCGTGCTCATGTATGATCTGGCGGCGTGGATTATCGCCTCGCTACCTCCCTGGACGGCTACGTAGTACTGGAGTGGGAGGAAATGGGCCTGTGCCGCTTCTGCTAGTGAGGAAAGTGCCGATTTTGCCGCGAGGCGTAGGACACACTCTCCTACGGCTATGGGCCGAGTCCCTCCCTCTGGCTTGGCGAGAGCGATGAGGCGGGAGGACGTGAGCAGGGAGCACACCTCTTCGGGGAGTTTCCCTTGGAGTATTGTGTTGACGAGGGCGTGGAGGTGGGTGGTAACGGCTGCGTTGGCGATAGCTGCATCCCTGAGGTGTTCGAACGTCATCCCCGACGGCCCTCCCCCTACTCCGTTTTCGCATCGGCATAGGATTTTCGTGAATGCAGCTGAGGTGATGGTCACCACGTGGGCCTCGTCCGTTGGTGTCCAGTCAATATGTCCAGGTGGCGTGGGTGGGTGCTTGGATTTAAGTGAATCCAGTATCTCCGGCGTTGGATCTGCCACGGGTGTAGATTCGAGGGCTAAGATGGCCCGCCGAAGGCTGCCCTTCCGAACGAGTCCTTCTGCTCTGGCACGTTTCCCCAACTCGTCCGGCTGGTGGCGTGGTGCTGGGGGGTAGTTGACTGCTACCACGGCTGCCTCGTACAGTTGTTCCCATTCGCCCTTAAAAAACTGACGAAGTCGCAACTTCACTGCGGGCCAATCAGGCTTCCCTGGTTTCGCCTGGCGAAGGATTAGGCTGGGAATAAAGAGTAACAGGCGCCAACCCGGTACTGAGTCAGGGTGGCGTGCGAGGTGCAGCAGGGGTGTTAGCAGCGCGTTTGCGAAACTGGTGCGGATTTCGTGCGGAATTTTGCGGGAGAGGGGGGGCTGACGACTGTCGCGTAGTGGTGTCAGGTCCCAGGTGCAAATTTCGTTGAAGCGTATCGTGTCCTTCGCCAGATGTTCTGGCGAGTATTGGCGTGTTGGTGGTGTGGTGGTGTGGGGTGCGTCTGGGTTTGGTTCCCCCCCAATTCCAATTTGTGCAGATGCGGCTCGGGCGGGTGTTGCAACATTCACTCGACTCTCCACTGCTGGAGCAGCTTCACCTTCATCCCCACCACTTCCTTCCGTGATTGATTCAGCGGCTGGCTGGGCAATAAAGGTGGGGTCTTGCGCCTCATCTGCTTCATCCTCCGCCTCGTTGTTGACTTCCGCATCTGTTAAAGCCAGCCTCGCCGCCCTTTGGAAGCCGTTCTTCCGTCCTCGGCCACGCCCCGCAGCTCGCTGCCGCCCGCCTCTGCCTCCACGTAATGCTTGTGGCGGTTGGTGGCGGTTCCCCGGTGCTGTATTCGCCGCGGCCGTTTGGCGTGGCGTTAGCTGCGCTTGCCTCGCCGGTACAGTCGGCGCCGGTTGCCCCTGTTGCGGCAATGTCTGTCGCGGGTTCTCCTGCTCACGCGTGCTCCACGGTAGTCGACTCTGGACGAGAGTCGGCGGGTGTGGCCGTCCAACCGCGCGTGGTGGCGCCGGCGCCTGTGCCTGCCTTCGTTCTGGCGCCTGCGGCTGACGTGGCGCCTCTCCCTGCTCCTGGCGCGGCGCCCTCTCCCGCGCCTCACGTTCCGGTGTTGTCGTCGCCTGCTGAGACGGCGGCTGTTGCTGGGGTGGCACCTGCGTCTGGCGTGGCGCCTCCTCCTGTGCCTGTGGCGCTGCCTGTGGTGTCTCCTGCTGCATCCCTTGGTGCACTGGGCGGGGAGTCTGCCCCTCCGCTCCCCGCGGCTTCCGCGTCTGCCCATGCCCTTCCTCCGGCTGTGCAGCAGCGTAACTCCCGTCCACATTCGCCCTCCCCCCAAGATGAGCGGGGTGTGTCTCGTCGACGGCGTGATTCCCCTCGCCGACGGCAGCTGCAGGCGAACTGGCATGCGCACCAGGGTGGTTGGAGGGGAGGTCGCGGTCGCGGGCGTGGCGGGTGGCTGGACGCGCCAGCAACAATCGCAGACGTGCGGCAGATTGTGACTGAGGCGTTTCGCGACGGTCAGGCCGGCCCGGCGAGTCAGAACAGCTCGCGACGTGCGGCTCCCACGCCGTCTGCTCCCCTTCCGGTCGCTCACCCCGTGGTTGCTCCGACGCCCGCGGTGTCACTGCCGTCGGCCCCTGCTCGTGGTGGTGGGGCTGGACTTCCTCGACTACAGCTCCCTTCTCTGGTGGAGGAGCTCCTTCCCCCGCGCGCCGAGGTTCCGGAGGCGACGCTCGGCCAGTTATGGAGGCTCTCGTAGAGCCTCCGTGCGCTCCTTCTTGTGCAGTCCCTGGCGCACGGGTCTCTTCCGCCTGTTCCGGCGGAATCTCTGTTTGACGGCCCGCGGGGCGACTGTCTTGACGCGGCCGACCAGATTGCCCTCCTCCTAGCGCCTGTGTTGGCCGCGCCCGTGCGGGGAGGCGTTGGGGCTGTGGGCCAACTGGACGCGGCTGTGCGGGACTTACGGAGGTACCTGCGGGCAGGTTCCGGAGCCGACGCGATTGGCGCCGCCATTCTGGTGGTCCGCTCGGTGTGGCAGACGATGACGGGCATTCTGCATGCCCTGCAGGCGGATCGGATGTAGCATCCGCCTCTTCGTGCCCCATGATGATGCTGCCGCTTGTTGTCCTATGCGGCTGTAGCTGGAGCCATTGCGTGTATGTCCTTGATTATAATCTCTTGTCTCGTTTCTCCCTTGTCGCCCCAAACCCGAAAAATTGCAGCCACCACACAAATAATAAGGAAGAGAGACCCCAAAGGGCCTCTTATATAGGCTAGGGAGGCAGTGGGAAGAGGGCAGAGGGAAGAGAGCAGAGGCTAGGGTCCTCTCTCTCTCTCTCTCTCTCTCTCTCTCTCTCTCTCTCTCTCTCTCTCTCTCTCTCTCACTCTCTCGAACGAGCGAAAAATTGCAGCCACCACACAAATAATGAGGAAGAGAGACCCCAAAGGGCCTCTTATATAGGCTAGGGAGGCAGTGGGAAGAGGGCAGAGGGAAGAGAGCAGAGGCTAGGGTCCTCTCTCTCTCTCTCTCACTCTCTCGAACGAGCGAAAAATTGCAGCCAACACACAAATAATGAGGAAGAGAGACCCCAAAGGGCCTCTTATATAGGCTAGGGAGGCAGTGGGAAGAGGGCAGAGGGAAGAGAGCAGAGGCTAGGGTCCTCTCTCTCTAACGGTCCTTTGTATTGATAGTAGGGGATGGTACAGACATGCAGATTCTAGGGACATGCAGAGAGGGTCCTCTCTCTCTCTCTCTCTCTCTCTCTCTCTCTCTCTCTCTCTCTCTCTCTCTCTCTCTCTCTCTCTCTTTAGCAGTCCTTCATTGCTAGTTTCATAGAGGTACAGGCATTGGCAAGAGCAAAGTACTTAACAGGCCTAGTCCTATGAGCAACCGGTTATGCGAGGCAAGGCCAAGGTAGGCACAAGAAGTAGCCAAGGGGAGGTCGGGCTGGCAAACCAACGGTACCGGCAGGTCAGGACCTTGAGGGTAGAAGAGGCAAGGCAAGGCACAAACAGGCATGGCAGGCAGGCAAGGCAACTCCAAGCCGAGCAGGGCAAGCAAGGCCAGGCAAGGAAGGCAAGGCACGGCAAATAAGACAAGGCAAGGCAAGCAAAGCAGGTTGCTAACACTCAGCTACACACCTAGCCCGCAGCTATCCTGCTTACTGACCCATCACTCCGTCCATCTCATCCTCAAGGACCTGCCAGAGGTCCCCTAGGCTAGGTTCCCAAGGGTCCCTAGCCGTCTGTGAGAAGGCTGCCACGTCACCTATGTTAGAGTTGTTCAGGAATGACGTCGCCTGTGAGCGCTGGAGCATGACACTGAAGCGCTGCCTGTAGTGAGCGGTGAGTCTTGCGGTGGTGGTGGTGAGCCTCCCCTGGCGGAACCTCCTTTTTGCCGCCGAGGTTGCTAGCAGGCGGATAAACTGCTGTGTATCCGTAGCTAAGGCACCGTACGTCTCCACTGCCAACCCAAAGAAACCCACGTAATCAGGCCGCCCCTCGTAAGCAGATCCCTACCCCACTGGCTCCATTTATCCCGGGGGAGGAGATGGAGTGGTGTCGTCCTGGTGAGGTAAGCAACTCGTCGTGAGATGCAGCGCGTGAGTAGCAGTGCTGCAACCTGGGGGTCTGCCCGCTCGAGTAAGGGTAGGGGTTTTGACATCTCCGCGAGTTGTCCCGCTAGGAACTGGGCTGCGCCGCTGTCCTGCCCCACGAAACTACCCAGCAGCCGCACGCCATCTTTAGAGAACGGCACTCCTGGCGGAAGGGAAGCTATGTCGATCGTGCTTGAACTCCAGGCAGCACATTTCTGTGGGTTATGCTCAAGGCCCAGGTGTGCCTCTGCTCTGGATTACTGCCTCTGCTCCACCTGGAACTGCCGCCCCGTACTGCAGCGGTAGGAAGAAATCGCGGACCGGTTCTCCCATGATTAACAGGGCAGCTTTCTCTGCCAACCTCGTCAGGCATTCGCCGATTGCGATTGGCCTGGCCCCTCCCCCTGGCTTGGCCAGGGCTATGAGTCGCGACGCCGTCAGCAGGTTTGCAACCGAGTCAGGCAATTTCCCTCCCAGCATAGTGTTGACCAAGGCGTGCAGATGGGTGCTGACCATAGCGTTGGTGATCGCCGCGTCGCGCAGGTGTTCGAATGTCATCCCTGACGGTCCGGCTCCGACACCATTCTCGCATCGTCCCAACATTTTTGCGAAGTCAGGGTGGGGGGTTGACAGCTTTGACCCCTGCGGCTCCGGCCACGTCACTGCCTCGTCTGCGACAGGTGGGTGCTTTCACCGTAGCTCCTCCAATATTTCCGGGCTGGGTGTGCAGACAGGCGTTGACTCGAGGGCCAGCACGGCTCGGTGCAGACTGCCACGTTTCGCCAGGCTCTCTGCACGGCTGATGACACCTGTCACATCTGGCTGATGTCTTGGCGGGGGCGGTGTGTTGACTGCGTTCAACGCGTCTTGGTACAACTGGTCCCATTCGCCACGCTGGAAAGCTCGGAGCCGGCTCTTGACACTTGGCCAGTTCGGGCGTTGTGGCGAGGTCTGGCGAAGCGTCAGGCGCGGGAGAAACAGCAGCAGGCGCCATCCCATTTCCGAATCAGGGTTTCGCGATAGGTGGTGTAACGGTGTCAGTAGCACGAGCGAAAAAAGTTGACACAGGTTTGGCGGTAAACGTCGCGACAGTGGAGGCTGACGACTGTCGTAGAGTGCTGGAATGTCCCAGTTCGCGATGGCTGCGAACAGGTCTGTCCGCTTCGCTAGCTCGTCTGGTGAAAAGTAGCGGGGAATTGACGCTGGTGGGCGCACCGCTGTACCGGCATTGGCGGTTCGATTTCTCCCAGCGCGGCTCGATCTCATTGGTGGGCCTGAGGTTGGATTTGCACCCGTCCGATCAGCATCGGATGGTGGCTGAGGCAACAGTGGTTCTTGCAATTCCACCTGCTGCACCACCTCTTCCCTTCTCCTTGATCCTTCTCTCGCCATGCCTTCCCCCTCCGTCTCTTCCTCCTCGCTCTCGGGAAGGGCTTCTTCCCTATAAGATGGGTCGTCCCGCTCATCTTCATCATTAGTTTCCTCAGCTCTGTTTAAAGCCGCTCGTGCCGCCGCCTGATACCCATTCTCTGGTCCTCCGCCTATTCCGCTTACGGTTTCTCTCCTCGCCACGCGGCTTCCCTGCTCTAGGGATGGTGATTGCCGGAGCACCTGAGCCGTCGCCAGAGCTCGTTGCCGCCTGGTCGGCTGCGGTCGCCAAGCCTCCGGCGGAGCCCGAAAGGGCGACCATGGCGACGAAACCCCCTCTACCGCCGGCTCCGAAACCCGTGACAACAGTCTCTGAAAAGACTCCTCCCTGCGCACCCGCGGATCCCCTTGGCGGGTCAGAGGCAGGGCCGTCCGCTCCCGCTGCTGTTCCGTCTGCTCCGCCTGCGGCACCCGGCCCCCTGGCTCCCCTTGTCGAGCCGTCGGCGTCTGCCCCTGCTGGGGGTGTTGCTGAACCCCCTGCGCCCGTCCCTGGCGCCCTTGTTGCGCCGACCGCTTCTGTCCCCTGCCTGCCTGCGCAGGCCTCTGCTTCGTCACCAAAGGCGGCGTCCGCCACCACTGGCGAGCCGGCTCCGTCGGTTGCGCCTGCGGCGGCGGGCCAGTCCGCCCCTGCTGTGACGGCGGTGGCTCCTGCAGGCCAGCCGTCACGCCCTCCGTCGCCTGACCGTCGCTCGTCGCGCCCGCATTCCCCCGCTCCCCATCAGGACCGCAAGTCCTCTCGTCGCCGGCGTGAGTCTCCACGGCGGTACCAGCAACAGTCGCACTGGCCTGCTCACCCCGGGGGTCAGGGGGAATGGAGGGGTCCCCGTGCTTATGGCGGGGGGTATCGCCCGCCTGTGACGATGGCGGATCTTCAGCGAGAAGTGTCGAGGGCGGTTCGGGAGGAGAGGGCGGCGCAGAGCCAGAGCAGTTCGCTGCGCGCCTTGCCAGCCCACGAGGCTCCTCGTCCGGCTGCGCTCCCCCCGAACCTGCAGCCTGTTGCTGCGCCTCCCCCTCAGATCCAAGCGACACCAGCTCCTTCTCCCGCTGTATCGGCACCTGCTCCTGGTTCTCGTCTCCATCTGCCGCCGCTTCCGCCCGTTGCGGGATTGGAGTTTGTGGCCGCGGGTGGCGGCTCGTTGTTGGCTCCGTTTGCTCTCCCAGCTGGTGCTGATGAGCCGCTCCAGTTTCTGGCGGAGGCACTCCAGCCTCTGCAGACCCGTGTTCCCGAGGCAACTCTCGGACAGCTACACTGCCTCGCTGACAGTCTCCAGGCTCTGCTGCTGATTCAGGTGCTGGCCCACTCGTCTCTCCCTGTGATCCCTCCTGAGACGTTCCGTGGCCGCCAGCGTGACTCTTGCCTGGACGCGGCGGACCAGCACGCGGTGCTGCTGGCACCCATGCTGGCTGCGCCCGCGGAGGGTGGCGCTGCTGCTGCGGGACAGCTTGACGAAGCCGTCCGGGGCTTGAGGCGGCACTTGGGCGGAGGATCTGGAGCCGCGGCGATCGGCGCATGCACGCTTGTGGTCCGGGAGCTGTGGCGCTCCCTGACGGGCATTCTTCACGCCCTTGGACCGCATGTAGGCGCGGGCTCCGGTTGCCCCATGGTCGTTTTGCTTGTCTAGGCTAACGTAGGGAATGCCATCGCTTGTATGCCGTTGCTTTTAGTCACTCGTATGTGTGTTTCCTTGCCGTCCCCTCCCGCGCGGCCGAAGGCCGCGCTGTCGAGCGTCGGAACAATGAGGCCAAGAAGGCCTCTTAAGTAGCTCTCAGAGGAGAGGGCAGAGGGCTAAGGGAGAGGGCAGAGGCTAGGTGCTTCTCTCTCTCTCGCTCTCTCGAATGAGCGAAACATTCTGAACCCACCGAACAATGAGGAGAAGAGGCCAAGAAGGCCTCTTAAGTAGCTCTCAGAGGAGAGGGCAGAGGGCTAAGGGAGAGGGCAGAGGCTAGGTGCTTCTCTCTCTCTCTCTCTCTCTCTCTCTCTCTCTCTCTCTCTCTCTCTCTCTCTCTCTCTCTCTCTCTCTCTCTCTTTGTTTTTAAGACGTGTGTGTGAACACCACAC